TTTTAATAAATACTTTTGTGTATAATTTGTATTTTGCATGTTTGTCTCATCACCTCCCCCCAATTATAGAGGCTACTGGCCTACAAAACCTGGATATATCTCTGGATTGTGGAGGACTAGGTGGCACCCAGGTATTCCAACTAAGAGGGCAAATGGGTAAAATGTCTGGTGATATACTTTGGAGTATTGTGCTGTAGTTATAAGTACTGATTAGATGTACTTATAGTAAAATGGATGGATATTAAAATCACAGTGCTTAGTAAAAAATAAACAGAAAACGAAAATAAAACAATTTATGTAAATTAAAGATATATACATCCAAGATAATAATTGATTTTCAAGAAAATACAATAGCACAAAGATGTACAGTAAACACATTTGGACAATTGCCTCAGGATGGGGATGAAAAGGTGGTGGAGTGGTAGGGAGTGGGATATGGAGCTGACAAATTAAAAATAATAAAGAGAGATTTGCATGGCCAGTGATGACAGTGGGCCATGAACTGGGGAATTTTAACTCTCCAAACCCGAAATTAAAAAAAAAAATTCTATAGAATTTAGGAACTTTGATTTATATTATCCACAAAAAAGCTAAATTATGATTCACTCTTACAAGGTTTGTGCATATTTAAAAAAATTTAAACTAGAATCACTTGAGGTTAGCTAAATCCAGAGATAAAATCTAAAGTTACACATGTCAAATTCCATGGAAGGACAAAGTCAAAGATAATATTCTGTTATAACAAAGACAGCTCCTGGACCATAGCAAACTCTTAATAAATTACCTTATGAATGAAGTTCAAGTGTCAAGGTAGAACTATTAGGGATACACGTCTTAAAGAACAGCGAACTTCTACTCGACTTCCCTCCCTGACCAAAACCTACCTTCGTGAGTCCAGGTCAGGTACCTTCCCTGTGTGTTCTCATTGCTTTCATCTGATAGGTGAATTACAGTTGTTTACCTGCCCATGTTCCCCAATAGACTGTATGTCCCAGAGGACAAGGACCAAGGCTACCTAGTTTGTATTTTTTCCCCCAGCACTTGGCATTCTGTCTAGAACTTAGTGACCACTTAAAAAAAAAATGTTGAAGAGTAAATAACATGGAATGAACATCTGAAAGGAATATTAGCATCACATGATTTCACATATGTAACAATCACTATTTTTATAACCTGTAGGGAGATAATCTTAAAATCAAGATTAACTTCATTTTGTTTTAGTAATTTGAACAAGAAGAAATTGATACTGAGGTCTCTTGCTTTAGTTTTTTGTAGCTTAATAGAGAAAACCCCCAAAACATATTTTGTTAATTCTGCTCACAGGTAATTATGATGGCATATACAAATAAATTTTAATACTAGTAGTAGTAGTTCAAAGAATTTAACTGATGGCTGATCATTTAAGATTCATTCTCTAATTATTTTTAAGTTATTTAAGGGTCTTTCAAAATAAGGCTATTTTNCTAGGTTCTACACAGTGAATCCAAAGTAATTTTCCCATATTAAACAAGGATCTTGGTTGCAAGCAAGAGAAATAGTCAAGCCAAAGGGAGATTTATTAGAAGGTGCTGGGTTCTCACAGAGTTATTGGAAGGATGTGGAAAGTTGAATGAACTGGATGGGGAAATGAGCAGACCAAAGGGAGGACTAGAGGCTGTTTGTCAGACCAGTCTGGCAAGGACTGCTGGGTGATTCCGCTTGCCACAACTGGACTCTACCATAGGCGCACAAAGGCTCCAGCACAAAGGAATTCCAACCAGACCTTCCTTAATCTTGGCTTCATTCAATTCAGGGTCAAAGTAAAAGGCAAGTGAATCCATTTGGATAAGCTTAGGAGTTAGTGTGTCTTCATCACACTAACAGGTAGAAAAGAAGGATAATTCACTTACATTTCCACAATAAGAGGTAGGGCTTGAATCCCATCACCACTACTCACAATGGGCAATCCATCCACTCCAAATAAGAAGGAAGATTGGATGTTGGATAGAAAAAAAAATAAGTGTGTATGTGTGTGTGTGTGTGTAGAGACATACACACATATGTATACACACATGCTTACACAGATCTATAATTTGCTTTTGGATTAAAAAAATGAATCAAACAATATTGGTTAGATGTGTGCAATCAGACATGCAGTGACTGAATAGTTAAAAATGTCCTTATTAGCATTGAATTCCAAGATCTTACCCAGTATCTGACATGAAATGGTTACTCATACTCCTTATTGGTGCTTCAATAAAGTTGTCATTATTTCCAGAAGATACGATCATCTGTGCGAAAAACATAATTGACAAACTGTGTTAGAAATGAAAATTAAGGATCACTGGATACAAAGTCAAATTAGTAGCCATTACCAACTAGAATGTGTATGTTTTTAAATATAGGACACCATGTATAATAGCAACATAAAAATATAGTATCTAGAATTAATTTAACCAGGAATACACAAATCCTTATGTAGAAAAATATATAAATGTTGATAAGGGACATAGAAGATTATTTACCTCATTAGAGGTTAATTTTATGTTTATGGATGGGGAGACAATATTATAAAGTNCTGTTGTTCAGCATCTTAGCTGTAGAGGGCAGTGTCACTGGCCCTCATATGTGGCCCTCATATGTGGGATCCAAACCAGGGCCCTCTGGCATCCCAAGCCAGCTCTTAACCAGCGCGCCACGCTGCCGGCCCCACCTTTACCTTTATTTAACCTTCCAAAAAGGACAATATTCTTATAGAAAAATACATATACCTTAAATATACAGTGCAGTGAACTCTTCCAAACTATACACACCACACAATCAGCACTGGAATAAAAACACAGAACTCCCTTACTCTAGATGGATATTTTTACTTCCCATAATATTTTGGATTGTTAGGAACCACAAAGACTAACTACAAAATCAAGCCGCTGGTCTACTTTGTTCCAGCACAATTATAGGCTAAGGATATACTGCTTTCTAGGATTTTGTAATCTTAGAGTTTTCCAGAGACATTTAATTCTAACATTTAAGTCTAAGTTAAGTGAAGCTTATATATTTATGGATTAGTTTAAAGGTGACACAGATAGTGCACCTAACCCACCTTGTCAGGGAAAGCTCCTTAGAACTGATGAGGCCTGAAAAACTATTAGGAGTTACTAGAGACTCAGGGGTTGGGGAGAGGGTTTACCCTGGTTCAATCTAGCTTTCTAGTGAAATAGACTAGATAAATCCATAACAAAGATAGGCAATTAATTGGTAAATAATGTTGTAATATATTTGACTGTTTACTTCTGATGCCATCTTAAGAAACTATAAAGTTGAAAACAAATGAAGGTATTATATTGAGGAAATAGATTGTATGTAGATTCATAAAGGCTGTCTTATTTCCAGGCTTCTAACTGCCTATTTAAGGGAAAAAGTTTGAGTTAACTTTTAAATTTCAGGTAACAAAACAAATACTGTAGCCATCACCTAAATATGTAAATACAATGGATTACAACCATCAGTTTTACTGAATAGGCAAAGGGTAAGATTAAGCATCAGAGGTGGAACAATTGGCAATTTGAAAATCTGTACAACCTTCGGAAATGGTAAACCAATGATACTCAGGAAGTGTTGGAGGATCTACCAACATTAGAGCTAAAAATTTGTATTTTATTTTGATCAAAATAAGACAGAAATTTCAAGACAGCAAATTAAAATATTAGTCTAGGGCAGCGGTTCTCAACCTGTGGGTCGCGACCCCTTTGGGGGTTGAACCACCCTTTCACAGGGGTCGCCTAAGACCATCGGAAAACAAAAAGATATTTACATTACAATTCATAACAGTAGCAAAATTACAGTTATAGAGTAGCAACGAAAATAATTTTATGGTTGGGGGTCACCACAACATGAGGAACTGTATTAGGGTTGTGGCATTAGGAAGGTTGAGAATTGCTGGTCTAGGGGGTTCACAAACCTTTTATTGCATATTAAATGCAATGCCAAGCAGTATTTGGGTATAACCCTTGGTGCTTCCAGCCTTCAAGCCTGTGGCTGGGAATCTTTTGTTATCTGAAGTCCTAGGCTCTAAGTCTCACCTGGATTCCATTTAAGCAAGGTACAGGATTTCCAAACAGTAGTGATGTCAGTATGATTTAATCTTAAGAATTTAAGATTTAAGTCCTGCTCATATTTATTTTAGTACTGCTGTACAGCCATAAAGTCTATCTTTCAGAAAAGCACGTGATCACTGAGGCATACGTTGATGAATAATAATGATCAAGACCATTAGTCTCATATGCTCCCATAAAAAGGAAAGCATTACAAGGCAGTGCCAGGATCTTAGGTCCAATTTAGTAATTTCTCCAAGGACCTCTCTTAGACCAGATGAGTATATATCTAAGCTTGCCCAGAACATTCCCAGTTTATGCCTGTTGTCTCGGTGTCCAAGGTGATGTACCATTTATTCTTGAAAATAAAAAACTGGTTCATAACATAAAAAGGATGGCCATCCTGCCAAGAATGGTACCAAATTTGCAGGTGTCTTCCTTACAGCCAGGGTAGACCTGCCTATTGCTTTCGTCCAACGATGTTATCAGGTGTTCAGATATCAGTAAAGTGAAAACCTATTGAAAGGCCTTTAATTACAATTCAGAGAGCAGCTAAGACTGGACTCAAATCTGGTATCATTATTTTTTTTCCCCTATATTCTCTAGATTCAGTCTTCTATCAGCTTTTACTTATCGAAATCGTAGAACTACTAGATGAGAAAGTGCACTTCTTTTTGTCTTTGAATGTTTCAGCTGTATCTGAATAAATGCTAATTTAACATGCCTATAATTCTGTGAAAACTTTACTTTTTGTAGTTGAAACCAAAAATCTGTTTGTTGGTTTATTTTATTATTATTAATTGTTATTATTATTAATTTTAATGGGCCATCCCTGTCTGGCAAACACTTAAGGCCTTATTTCTTTGTTTCCACTTAGGCCTCCTATGTAAGGAGCTGAAGGGGAAATAAAATATACAGGATGAAAAGATGGCAACGCTGCCTCCCCCAGGACCTCAGAGCTTTGCCCACTTCACAAAACAGTCTCTTGCCCTCATTGAACAGCGTATTGCTGAAGGAAAAACAAAGGAACCCAAAGAAGGAAAGAAAGATGATGATGAAGAAGGCCCAAAGCCAAACCGTGACCTGGAAGCTGGTAAACAGCTGCCCTTCATCTATGGGGACATCCCTCCAGGCATGGTGTCACAGCCCCTGGAGGACCTAGACCCCTACTATGCAGACAAAAAAGTAAGTTTACTATGACTGCAATGGCGTGGTCTCTGTTTGTTTCATTCTGTACAGAAATTTTTTTAAAATTGAGATCAAGTAGAATTTTGGGGAAGAAAAAAACACATCATGACAAAAATATTCAGGTAAATACTTATGTATGATATTCAGAATATGCATGTTCTGCCTTTGTGGACATGCCATAAATGCATACAGGTAGAAACAGAATAATTGTCAATTTGAGTAGTAAGACCAGAGAATATGTCCAGAATGCATTTGCATGGAGGTGACAGCTGAATCCATGGGAATACATGAGGTCACTCAACTCATAATGGAGTTTGTGGAGGTGCTTCATTGAGGGTGTTGGAGAGAAAGAGGAATCTGAGATAGATAGTCACAGAGGTAGGGCATTAATCAGAAATTTTTCCTATTGTTCAAAAAAGAAGGGAAATGAGCACCTCATAAAATTACCCAGAAAGCTGAGGACAGAGAAATGCTATTGGAATGAACAAAGAGGATGAAATGGTAAAATTTTATAAGCAGTTTGTGGTAGATGATGGAAATCAAAACAAAATAATAATGGAAAGCAAATAAAAAGAGACAGGTGACAGTATGTGCATGTTGAGAAATTTGAGAAATTTTCTACCAGAAGGATGGAAACTTGCGGTACCGAATCAATTGAAAACATTTTAAGCATAGGATATAAAATAGCACATTTGAAAGTAAAGAAAAATCATTCTCAGTCAGAAATAAAAATATAGAGGGTTTGAGTAATGTTGTGGCTAGTTGCTGATGTTCACAGACAAGGTACAAGGTTGTATTTGTAGGTCAGGTTGTTATTGCATTAGAAAAGTGGAGAAGCCTATTTGTCTGAGGCTTGAGTGGCAAACAGAATATGGATTTAAGAGTCTGATATGTTGAAGTAAATGCAGGCACATCAGGGGAAATGCATGTTAATTGGTGTCAGTCTTTTTCATACTACAGGAATAGAAATTGTCCTTTGAGAGTCAGCGTTGAGAATAGCAGAGCGGAGAAGGTGTTGACTGCATTAAAGAAATGGGGAAAAACTTGAAACGACTGCTAAAAGGTTATTCTGTTGAGAAAATGAGAAGGGGAATTACAGTAACTTTTGACAGAGTAGCAGATACAACCAGGTTGAAGATGACAAAGAGGAGAAAAAAGGAGACAATAATGGATTAGATGAGCAGGCTTTATAACTTTCTCCAACAATGCTTTGTTGCACAGCGCCTGCAGACTTATCTTTGAGAGGTCAAGAAAGGCAGGATGAAGTCCATTTAAAAAATGATTTTGATTTGTTTAACAGATGAATAAAAAGGAATATTTCTTGATAAGGCATCTGGCAAATAAAATAAAGAACATATTTGAGATGTCTTAAGACATAAAATGTGATGAAGTTCATTTTGGTGGTAGAAACACATCTGCCTCAGTGGTAGTTCCTATGAATGGCCATATCTAATATTTTGATTCACACTAAAACCAGCATCTCAACAAGCTGATAGCATACATAGCAGTAGAAAGCAGAATACCTGAGAGGACCTTGAAATATTACACAGCACTCTAATTAACCAATCACTATTCTGACACAGATGGAAAAATGCTAATAGGTATTGAGGGTGTCTGTGCCAGTCACTAGAGGTTTTATGCAAATTAGCACATGTATGTATCACCTTTGTTTTTAGATGGGACAGAGGGCTTGGGGAAATTAAGTAACTTGCAAAATGTTACACACTAGTAAGTTTTGTCATAGATTTTTTTTTTTATTTAAGTTGGTTTGACTCCCTACTGAGATATTATATTATGCAACAACACCTCTTAGTTTAGTTTAGTTTCTGTTGTATAGCAACCACAATGCTAATTTTTAAAAAATGAATGCGATAATGATGAGCAAATAATGAAACAGACAAAATAAGAAGTACTTTCTTATTTTGCTTATTATTTCATCCTGAAAAATTCCTGGCTTTACATGGATACCTACTGCATTTCTCATTTCTAAAGGGAGCCTGGATATTACTTAACCAGCTACTCCTTAAGGAGGAAAGGAATCTTTCTGGAATAATCCCCAAGTCAGAGATATAAACTAATATTTGCTTAAAGTGATTTAGGAGGTAAGGAGAAAATGTTTGCATTTGAATGGAGGATAATGGACTTATTAACTAATGGAGTAATTTTAACTATGTAGATAAGCAAATTTAATAGAGAATATTTGGGGTGGGACTCCACCCTCTTACCTTGGCCCCCACTCCTTTCAAATAAAAAAACACCAACCACATCAAAAGCCTAATCCACGTCAGCATTAATGTACTTGGGTAGAACTGCATACTGTGTCAAAGTAATCTATTTTCATGGTTATCTGTTGTTAGCATCTGAACAAATATACAGAAGGATACCTGAGTCTTTTTTTTTCTTTCTTTTTTTTAGCTGAGCCATCCTGCCACCTTTTGGCAGCTCAGCGGCTGCTCAGCTCGGACCGGGACTCGAACCGCTGTTGCTCAGAGCTCAAACTCTTGAGTGAGCTCTTAACCAACTGAGCCACTCGGCCGGCCCACCTGAGTCTTTTTATTTCCTTTTCATTTGGAGATTAAAGTTGTCAACTTTTTGTGCCTTGTCCTAGCTACTCAAACATTCTCTATAAAAGTAGTTTAGCTTTGACATTTACTTGCAGGTTTAGGATTGTATTCTCTATGAATTGGTTCCTCAATAATTCATGTTATTCACACTAATTGACAAAAACTTTATTTCTGCTGCATTATAATTGTAGCTTGGATTAAAAATCTTAATGACCCATAGTTTGACTTGGGTCCAGATTTTAATTTATATTTGAGTATAGTTATCAATGCTTTGTTAAAAGACAGAACACTTAATAAACTGATAGAAGTTAGGGCTTTATTTTTATTTTGGAACACTTGCTACTAACCATGAGAATAGCCAGTGATGAATATATTAGTGCTTTTCAATAATGCTATGCGGTACCTTTATTATAAGTGAAAGTTTGTGACTTGAGGAAAAAAATAAATTACCACTCACTCTCTACTATGGGTATTAAGTGGACAGGAACATGGTCTTTTTACCTTCCTGTCCTTGGTGCCTTATATGTTGCCTTTGATACCAACAGCTGCTCCCTCCATTTACTGAGTTTACAATGTATCAGAAACTTAAAAACTTCACAGACACTAAGTGCTAGCTCTCAAGCTGCTGAATGGTGGATCTGGTACTAAGAATCATCTGTCCAGCTGTAGAGCCTTTGCTCCTTAAGCACCATAATTCTCTACTTTTATATACAGTGAATTCTTTTTTTTTTTTTTTTTTTTAGCTGAGCCATCCTGCTACCTGTTGGCAGCTCAGCTCAGGCCAGGCATCGAACTGATGTTGCTCAGAGCTCGCACTCTTGAGCGAGTTCTTAACTAACTGAGCCACTCGGCCAGCCTCAGTAAATTCTTAAATAAATAAGCAAAATTAAAAAGAGTTTTATTCAGACTTTGACACCTATGTATTTGCTCGTAGGATTTTAGAATTTACTAGAGAGCCTCATACTGATCTCTAAAATTTCATACCTACTTTTCCAATTTGTAATTAACACCTGTGTGTGTATAAACCCAAATATTCCTAAAGAAGGTTTTTAATGCAAATTAAAATTGGCAGTTTAAGTTTAAAAATAGCAGACTAATTTTTTTTTTCCCCCATAATTTCAAGTCCAAGGTCTTGCCAAGGCTAGGAGTAATGTGATTTTCATATTAGCTCAGGTGACCTCTGGTTCCTGAAGTCCCCCGGATAATTCTGACAGGCATATGACCCTGTCCCCTCTTTATTCTTATACTCCTCCATTTGTATTTCTCTGTATGATACCTGCTATATCTTATACTAGAGTTATTGTGTTCTTACCACTTTTCTAGGAAGTTCCTTGAAGGCAAAACTCATGCCTCATTTATGTTCAAACTCCTTTCATTGCCTCTTATGCTGTAGCTGCTTATAACAACCACAGTGTATTGAGATTTAATAAAACAATAGTTGTACTCAAAGACTAGATATTAATTTTAAAACTAATTTTAAATGTAAAAGTGAACTTTATGTTAAATTATGTTTAGACGTAACTAGTATAGTGAAAGTCTCCAGGAATATAAAAGAACATCCAAAAATAATAGATTTTGGTTCATTTTCTTGAGAACACTGCCACATACAACTAAAAAGCAAGATACTCAAACTTATGTCCCCAAATGGTGAAAAATGTTTATTACCAGAAACCCACTCATTAACTTACATAAAATTCAGATTAAATAAAAACAGCAACAAAAAGACCAACTGCATGTCTTCTAGATAAAACAAATAATTTGCCTGCCAATGCAGAAAAATAAGACAAGGATTTGAACTTGGTCTTTCTGATTTCCAATCTAAAACCATTAGATTGATTTAATGTTTTGTTTTCATTGCTGTTTATTTGCTTAGGTTTTAAATAAAGACCAAAGCCAGGGAGAATGTCACTCATTAAATAATGGTTACATAACATTTTTAAACTGTTTAGTTCTATTTGTATTATTTTTAAGAATTATTTTTATTTTAGCTTTTATTAGTATTACATCTATAATAGGAAAGGGATAATGGGATTCTTCCAACTCTAACATTTCTTAAATTTATGAAAATATTGTTTTGAAAAAACTCATATTTTAGAACACTTGTACTAACTATGACAATAGCCAACAAGTATTAAAATGCTCAAGCTATTATGGTAAAGATGAGGGATGCCTATTATAATTTCTATTTGGTTTGCTTATAATGCAGTATAAAGAAAGAAGGAAGTGGCATTTTTAAACTAATTCCAATGGCCACAAGTTATTGTTACTGATGCGGGGAGTTATAGGGATGTGGAAACAATGTGTTTTGGGAGCTTTAAGCAATGCATGCTCATAAATGGTTCACTTCTTAATTTGCTGAGAAGAAATGGACTTGGAGTTCATTGGCCAACAATATAGCCACATAAATGGCATTGGAACCACATTACTTGAGTCTGATGGCATTGTTTCTTTACTGTGATGCTACTGCGATTAATGTGCTAGACTGAAATTTTGGATTCTCAATTTCATCCTGTTTTCTTTTTGATTCTGCAGACTTTCATAGTATTGAACAGAGGGAAAGCAATCTTCCGTTTCAATGCCACACCTGCTTTGTACATGCTCTCTCCTTTCTGTCCTCTAAGAAGAATATCTATTAAGATTTTAGTACACTCATATCCTTTTTAAAATGCTTACTTGCGATGGTCCTTTAAAATGTAGTTTTTGCTGTTTTATTTAAATATGGGTTTGTGTCCTTTTGTACCTGAAAAGACTGTGGTTTTAGTTTATCATTTCAGTATAATTTGGTGTCGGTCTCTGAGAAGATCGGAAGAATGGCAATTTTAACATTTTAGGATAAATTACTTTTACCTATTACTCTCTTGTTCTAAGAGATTAAAGAGAAAGTATATAAACTATTTACAGTTATTTCTTAAGGAAAAGATTTCAACAAGTGTTATTATCAAATATTCAAAGTCCCGCCGTGGGCTTTCATCATATTCCTTGATTCTAGCCTACCTTATTTGGCATGCTTATCATGTGCACTATTCTGACGAACTGCATATTTATGACCATGAATAACCCTCCAGATTGGACCAAGAATGTAGAGTAAGTGGGTATAAGTACATTTTAATATGGTCTTAGTATTATAGTTTTTATTCTTTCCTTTTCCTACCAGGAAGTTACTGCATCTATAAAAATTGTGGTGTTTATCTTCCAATGTTATATAGTTGCTTTTCTTTCCTTTATTTTTTCTCCCCTTGTATTAACAGGCTAGCAGTAGAGTAGAATAATTAAATGATACAGTCTATTCTAGAAGAATAAACTTAGAAGATGTGCTGCCTTATTCTTAAACATGTTACATTTTTCTTATCCTTTGGTGTATTTCTGATGGAGCAGTGTAGGAATTTTCTAGGCAGATCTAACATTTATGTTCTTGTAATTTTAAACACCCCTACTTTCTAAAGAGTTTCTGATAGGAACATTTTAAAGTTTTCTGGAAAGACCTTTCCTGTAGTTTATTGTAATACTTAGAGTGGGTTCATAAATCAATAGCCACACTGCAGTAGATGACTTTCTTTGGTTGATCAGAAAAAAATAAATTATAAAGATTTACATGGTGCTGTATTCTTTTTCATACTTAATATCCCAATGGATTCTTGTGTCTAGGTACACTTTTACTGGAATATATACTTTTGAATCACTTGTAAAAATCCTTGCAAGAGGCTTCTGTATAGGAGAATTCACTTTCCTTCGTGACCCATGGAACTGGCTTGATTTTATCGTCATTGTTTTTGCGTAAGTACTACATTCCGTTTTTTGAAATGGCAGACTCATGAAAATCACAGGTAGCACAGTATTCTAGTAAGAACAAAACTTTAGTGGTGAACACACAATGCAATATATACATGATGCACTATAGAAATGTACACTTGAAACCTATATAATTGTATAAGCGGATAGCACCCCAATAAATTTAATGAAGATTAAAAAAAAAGAATAGAGCTTTTGAGTCTGACTTTTTCTGCATGTCTTGTTTGCATTTAAAGGAAACTGTATGAAAGCTGGGCATTTATAGGCAGATATTAATTCTTTTTTCAGAAAGAGCATTTCTCACTCAAAAGAATATGACGTTATACTTGATCATCTCCCTCCACACCCAGCACTTGGATGGACAGTCTATTTGGTGGCAGTTAGGTTCACACTTTTACCAAGTTTTTATTTGAAAACTAATAAAACCTATAAGAATCACAGAAAAAAACTCAGGCCTTTAATTATAAGTATGGTGCTCTTTTTATTGTGCGAATAAGTATAATAAAATATAAAAGTAAATCTTTTTATAAGGGTTGTCACTGATTACTAAACCTCACATTAATGAACTGTATATGTATTACATACATATCCACAGTTTATTTTCAAGGGAAAAATATTACGTTAACATAGAATTTTAATTTATTCATGTTGCTACTCTTTTCCCAAATATGTGTCAGAAACATTTCTTTTTTATTTTTTAAATCTCAAACCTAGATACAATATTTTTTGCTCTGCTATTGAATTGTAAAAGTAACACATGTTCACTGGAGTAATTTAGACACTACAGAAGGGTCTTCAGATTTCTAGTCTCCAGTTCCCTCCTCAGCCCCGTCCCACCTCTCTGTCCATCAGGCTCCCTCCTGTCGTGATCACATGTGGCTGCTGCAGTCCTACCTACCACCCCACTGATATGACAACATTGTGTCAAACAGGACTGCCTCTTAGGGGGCTCTCCTATTGTATTGAGATAGAATTTACATACCATAAAATTTACTTTTTTAAAGTATAAAATTCAGTGTTTTTTAGTATGTTCACAAAGTTGGGCAACCATCCTTACTCTCTAATTCAAGAATATATTCATTACCCCCCAAAGCAGTCATGTCTATTCCCTCCTCCCGTCAGCCCCTGGGAACCACTCATCTATGATTTTTCCTCTACGCATTTGCCTATGCTAGACATTTCATGGGAATGGAATCATACAGGATGTGGCATTTTGTGTCTGGCTTCTTTCAACTATCATACAATTTTCAAGATTTTCCATGGATGTTTTATAGGATTATTAACTATATTACCATAAGATCAAGGTCTAATAATTGAAGTATTTAATTATTTATTTAGGCATTTAAGTATATGAAACAATTTTAATAATACATTTGTATTTTGCTCACATCAACTTGAGTCCAATCAAATCAAATTAAATTAGTTATGATAGGGGAAAAAAAAAGACTTGCCAAAATCTTTAAGCTGTTCCAAATGTTGGAACTACCTTGACTAAAGGCACGGGTAAGTATCATAGATGCTATCTAAATTCTGAATAACTCTGATTTAATTCTACAGGTATTTAACAGAATTTGTAAACCTAGGCAATGTTTCAGCTCTTCGAACTTTCAGAGTGTTGAGAGCTTTGAAAACTATTTCTGTAATCCCAGGTAAGAAGTGACTGGTGTGAAGCATTAGGCCACTCATAACTCCAACTATTTGGGAGTTGTTCTTTGTTTGTTTGTGTGTGTGTTGTCACTGTGTTTGTGTATAAACTCCCCTATTACAGATATGTGACAGAGTTTGTGGACCTGGGCAATGTCTCAGCGTTGAGAACATTCAGAGTTCTCCGAGCATTGAAAACAATTTCAGTCATTCCAGGTGAGAGTGGGGTTAAACACCGGGGCTGACTTTGATCATTTGGAGGAAAGACAAGAAAAGCTTTCTCTTATGCAATTTTAATTAAATTTAATTCCTTATGTTTTTCAGAATCCTTATTAAAAGTCAGCCTCTGAGTTTAATCAGTTGCATGGGTCTTAGAGGATGAAGATGGCCATTTGGCTCACATCTCAACTTGAAATTTTCCCTCCTGTCTAACAGTTCTTTTTTCATTTTGCTTATTCAGGAATGAAAATTTCAGTTTGTTTTAATTGCTTTTCATATAGTTAAGAAAAGGGAGAAAAAAATATTAGCATGAAGGTATTGCATGACATATTGTTTTTTTATCTTTGCTCGACAAACCATTTCTTAACCAAAAATTAGTAAATTGTCACTGTGTGCTGCAATTCAGCCTCTTTGTTTTAGTGTCATTATAGGGAGATGGTTTGTTTGACATACATTTCCTGAACTGGCATTTTAAAAAGCTATTTTTTACAAGTGAGTGTGGATATCGTTTGGGCAACCAAATTATTTATTTTGACAATTTGGTTATCCTTTGGAAATATTTTACAATTTTTAATCATTTCCTGTATGTGATATACATATGCATTTACATAAAATAAATGTAAAACAACAAATCCACCCTTTGACCTAGTGGGTTTTTTTTTTTTTAATTAGAGTTTTCAAGGTCATTGATTTGGTAGAATGCATGCATTCCTAGGAAAGCTTGTGTTTGTGTTTGTTTCTCATTCAGAAGCTTTATTTCATTATGAACACCTTTTGTACCCCGTCTTCAGGTCTGAAGACCATCGTGGGGGCCCTGATTCAGTCTGTGAAGAAGCTCTCAGATGTCATGATCCTGACGGTGTTCTGTCTGAGTGTGTTTGCGCTGATCGGGCTGCAGCTCTTCATGGGCAACCTGAAGAACAAGTGTGTGCGGGCTTCTTCATACGAAAATCTAACCGTTCCAGACATCTATGACGAAGACTTCTATAGAGGTAAGATACTCTCTACAGTTGTTAATAGGTTGAAATAAGGCTAAAAGCATTTATCTCCTTTAGCAAAGAAATGTCGCTTTCATTTTTATTATTATTATTATTTTTTTTTTTTTAAGATTTTTATTGGGGAATTGGGGGGATGGGAACAGTGCTGGGGAATTGGGGGAAGGGGAACAGACAAGTTGCTGTCGTTTTGTTCTTCAGTCTACTTGTGGAGGACGTTGCTTCACTGGCCCAAGTTGGCACCATCATTGCGCTCTTCCTGGGCGAGGCAGATCAGTCGCCGGTTTCTGGATGGCCGATCACTGCGGCTGCTGGCTGCTCATGCTGGCTGCTCATGCTGGCTGCTGGCTACATACGGTAGCTCATGGCAACCCACTGCCACAGGGGCTGCAGCCTACGCCGTCGCCAGCAACTCATGGCAGCCCAGTCCCAGGTTGAGCTGTTGTTCAGCATCTTAGCTGTGGAGGGCAGTGTCACTGGCCCTCATATGTGGGATCCGAACCAGGGCCCTCTGGCATCCCAAGGCAGTTCTTAACCATCGCGCCACTCGGCCGGCCCTCATTTTTATTATTTAAAAATTATTCAAATATGTAGAAAGTTGCTAAAGTGTGGATTTGGATTATGTTATATTTTTATACATCTGCCTCGTTCTAACCTTTCTAGCAGCCCTGTTATTAGACACAGGAGCTGCTTCCATCATTCTCCACTTCTGTAAGATAAAAAAGAATAAAGTTGCTCTAGAGAAATAAATTCAGTGATGACCTAATACTTTTAACCATTACATTTCATCATAAGATATATTATAAACTACAGTTTTATTGTATAATTCATACAGATGTTTATAGGTAATATCATAATATAATTATATTTTACATGTGTATTGTAACTATAATATAACATGATATACTTATGTTAACCATACTGTAATGATAATATTATCACATATTAAAATGTCTCAATAATATTTCTAAAGATTTGTATAAAGTGCAACCGTTTACTCAGGTTTATCAGCATTACCTTTATATTGTAACCAATTGTGAGTTTCACAGTTCTTTTTAATGACTTCCCTAAATCTAGCTAATCCAGCACATCAAAGTTTAATTCATCAGAACTAGTTCTGTAGGTACTGTATGAGATGATCTGTACACATAGTCTCAGAAGTCTGCTTAATTCACAAGTATATTTTAGAGTATGTTACAGAAAGCATCAACCGCATGTTTCCTAAACCATTATCTCCTAACACAATTTCTCTCACCAAAGCTATTGATGAGTTTGGGTGAGAATGAGATCAAGCAAGACTGTGCTCTCTGTCTAACACCTGCAATGTGTCTGTGTGATATTGCCCACATGAACCCACAAATCCTAACTGATAATTCAATCCAGAGGTGGGATGGAAATCAAGAGAACTTTCAGTTCTATGTGTCTGTGACAGAGGGAGATCCAGAAGTAAAGGTCAGGATTCTCCTTGGATAATAAAGAATTGTATACATCATTTTTTTTTTTTACTCTATTAAATGTGTATTTTTCCACTCACTGGGGAACATAAAAGCAAATAAAACCTAGTTAATATAGTTAAATACTGTAAATAAAGAAAATTTTTAAAAGCCTAAAACAAAACAAAACAAAAGCCTGAATGTTTTCAAGTAAAATATTTACTGTAAATTTTTTTACTACCAGCTTTTGCTGGGGGTTTAGCCTATTTTTCCTTCCTTTTATCTTTACTTTTTCAGTTTCTGATTTTGTTAATATGATCCTAAATTTTATTTTCAATTTCCAAGGAATTTTATTCCTCAACTTATATGCCATAAAAATAAAACATCTTGTGGGTAATTATTGACATTCACATTCTGTTTGTGAATCAATTTACAACTTTTACTTAAACTTAACTTTTTTTAGTAGGATCGCTGCCAACACTTTTATTCTGATTCTTGGTTCTATTACTGAGTTTGTAATTTGAATGAGTTTTTTAACCTTCTAGAATTGTTTCAAGCATTTTTTTTTTCCAGAAAGAGTAGAAGGAACCCTTGAATTTTGCAGTGTGTCTTCGTATTGCCTTTACACATGAATGACAGCTTAGCTAAAATGAAATGTTACTCCATAATCTTTTCCCTCAATTCTGTCCATTATGATTGATTTTCTTTGAAATATAGTTTTAGAGAGGAGATGTTTGTGTCAAGTTTGACTTTGGTTTCCTACCTGTTTTCTGGGTTATAGAAAACAGGCCTTACTGTAATATTTATTCAGGCATTCATTTATCACCACGTGTTTAAGTGCTTCCTTGGGGCTGTAGCAATGAAAAGGAGAGCCTCAGTCCCTGCTTTCACAGAGCTTATAGTCTAGTCGGAATCAAAGATTAAAAGCAGGGGAACAGACAACTAGACAAAAAATATTGCAAGTTTTAATAAATGCTGTGCAAAGAAAATAAATCTCAGGGGCTGAGATACCAATTAAATGACAAAAGCTCTCTGAAGAAGTGACATTTAGGAGGAAATCTGAAGGACAATAAGAAGCCATAAAATAGTGTAAATGTGGGTGGGAGTGTGTGTATAATGGCCGCTGCTTGAGTTAGAAGGAATAGCATAGGAAAAGGTCCCAGAGTATTATGTGTTTACAGAATAGGAAAACAGCGATGTTGTTAGGCTTTAGTAAGAGAGAGAGACAGAATGGCAACAGAAAGTGTCGGGTTCGAGGGTGTCAATCAGGGACCGTCTGGGTGGTGAGATGCCAGCTGAAAGAAGGCACGAGGCAGACTGTGTGCCATAAATGCAGCAACAGCACTTTATTGATCTGAGGCCGGGGCCAGAGAGAGAGAGTGATCCAAAATGGGAGCGGGGTTTTATACCCTCATACAAACAACAGGTGCATGGCGCCAGCACACATGCGCAGGAAGGAAACTTAAAAGCCATTAACAGAACAGGATAACAGGAACTGTCCATCAGCAAGTCATTTCCTCCCCTCTGTCCTACCCAAGGGAGAGGGGCAGGCCAGTCTCCAAAGCCTGTAATCTTTCCTAACTGAGAAGCCCTAGCACCTGGGCCCCACACTCCATCCCTACAGGGTTTGGGACCACACCCTTCTTTGGGACCGAACCCTGGACCCAAAGACCACAGCAAGAGTACAAGGCTCAGCACAGAAGTCCTTTGGGGCCCACCCCACAGTACGGTCTGGGTTAGCTCACACTTGCTCTATATAGCGAGGGGCCTGCTCTAGCATTTCCACGCGCTCCCTTGTCAACCATCCCCACCCATTGTTCACTGCATGGCCCAGTCAGGGTGGGGCGTTGTGGTAGCTACATCATAGAAGCGTGTCCACTGCTTTCCGAAGTGAGGTCCAGTCTCTGGTCATTCACCAGGAGTGCAGTCTGGTCCAGTTTGAGGCTGTAGCTGGTGCTATGCGCCATGGGAGTCCTTCAGCCGCCGATGTGGGGAGCTCAGTGCACACCCAGCACTGGGAGAGGTTGTGCACCTGGGAAAAGACATGGGCCCGGGCCAGGATGCTGTTGCCTGTGCCTAGGCTGGACGAGAGGACAGTAAGGAGACAGAGACTATTAACGGTAAATCCCTGCCTTCTGGCAGCACGCAAGCCACTTTCCCATCCTGGGAAAAGACGGTAGCTGCCAGTGGCGGGGCTCCTGGACGGTGATACCACTCCGTTTTCCCCAAAACCATAGGGGAAGGCTAGTCCACTTCCTTTACCTGCAGCAAAGACCACAGGGCCAATGCAGTGATACCCCATAACAACGTCCCTCCTCCATCTCGCGGCAAGGTGACCTGCAAAGGGGTTGGCCAGGAGCACAGCAAAGGCTGGACTTGCAGTCCACGACCAGCGCTGGGCCCCCATGGTTCCACTGAGGCAACCCAGGGATCCCGGGAGACGACAGTCTTCCATGGCTAAGTCCATGTTTGTGTCTGGCCTTCAGCCAGAGCTTCTCAGGTTGGCAGGAGCAAAGCTCCCTGCTGTACCCGGGGCAAGTCTTGGGACTTGATGGACTCCGGCACTATCTTGAGGGTGTGTGGCAACCCCTCTTCTACACTATCTAGCGGTGACTGGTCTGTCTTTCTGCATCTGCACCAGCGCTAGTGGTACCCGGATGCCCATTGTTTCCATGGGCTTGTCCCTTCTGGGGCCCGGAGCTTTTCCTTCAGCAGCCCGTTGAAACGTTCTATCGTACCCGCAGCCTGCAGGCGATAGGGGACGTGCAGCTGCCACTCTATGTCCTGCTCCTTCGCTCACTGCTGAGCTCGCTGTACTGTAAAGTGGGTCCCTTGGTCACTGGAGATGATGATGGAGATGATGAGTGGCCACCCATACGCAGTGCTCACTTGCTCCAGGGCATGTATAGTGTCCTGTTGCAAGGCGGTGGGAGTGGGCCATGCAATCCCAGGCCAGTGGTGGTGTCAACCGCTGTAAACAGATACTGCTTACCTGCAGTTTGGGGAAGCAGCCCCACGTAGTCCACCTGCCACACCTGCACTGGGCATAGCCCCCTGCTCAAGCTTTTCTGGCTGAGTAGCAATTGCCGCCTATGGGGGTGGTGGCTGGCACACTGGGGACATGATTAAACAGCCTCTCTTGCGTTCACTACTCTCAGAGGCCTGCCCCAGCGCTGGGCCACTTTGCACATGGTTCACGGGCCTACATGCCCTAGTTTCCAGTGTGACCAAGGGCCCCTAGTGGCATCCTTCATCACTGAAGGAAAGAAAACAGGGCGGGCGGACCTGTGCCAGGGCATCTGCCGCGTCATTTCTGGGGGAGAGGGACGGCTTATGGCCCGGAACGTGGTAAATCGTAGACACCTGGCTTTTACCCCGTGACCACAAATCCTCCCAGAGGGCGCATCACCACAGGGGGCGCTGACCTATCATCCACCCCTGGGCAGCCCAATGGGGCAGCCACAGGGTGAGACCCCAGAACACTGCCCAGCTCTCAATGCAGACATGCACATCCTCTGCCTCATGCATGAGCACCAGCAAGGCAGCCCTGAGCTCGGACCATTG